TGGAATTGAACTCAGGACCTTCTTGCTGTGCGGCAACAGTGCTAACCACCGTGCCACCGTGCTGCCTATAATAATTTTAAAAAATACATTTGGCTACTTTGTGGATTTCACCTATTCTATTCTTAGAACAGAATTCACACAATAAACGAGGGACCACTGTATTCCAAATTTCTCACACACAGCCAGGCCACTTTACAATCTGCTCCCTGCCCATCTTTTCCATCTTATAAATCTCTAAAGTTGCATCAGTCCAGCTCTATAATTTTGGTGGATCCTGTGTAAGCGATCTTTTGGTAAGTGCCTTTTTACTTGCAGCCACCAGGACACCAAGAAAGTATTCATCTATACCCTTTATTCTGAGGGTATGTATCCTAAAAATATGGATTTGAAATCAAAGGGTAAATATGTGTTAAAGATGTTTTGCATCACTTTATGAACTTCTCTCCAGTAGTTCATAATATTCTTGCAATCCCAAAATATATCGTAGTGCTATGCTGTGTCACAGCCACAGTTCCTCCAACATTCAAAGCCTCCATCATCATAGTGCGACTTTAGAGCTGAGGTGACAAAAAAAAGGAAACGGGCAAAACTTTCCCAGCAGAACTCCTTCCATACATGTGATTTTGTGCTTTTCCAATGAAAAGAGCAAATGTTTTGTCATTCTTCTTCTGTAATCACCAGACCTCCCTCTTTCTCCTGTCTGTCTTTTATGTACTTCATTGAATGATTCCTGAGATCATGAAGACTTTTGTATATTTGTGAGATTACACCTTCTTCATTTCTGATTTATAAGCATTTATAAACAGTTTGGACAAATGGCCTTGTTGCAGTGGTTACTTGGTTTTTAATGTTTTGAGTATAAAAGTTTCCTAACTGAAGATATCTATAGTGGTCTTGATTTTCTAAATGAAATGTTTGCTTTAAAGTTTGAAAACTCCTAATTTCATCTTCCTTTATAATGCCACATATCGATGTGATTCCTAGTGTTTAAAACTAGAGTCTATTTGATTTGGGTACATTTCTAATCATATGCACACCATTTCAATACTTTATATGCTTCTCCAGCTTATTTTCTTTTATCACCCTTTTCCAAACCCCAAGTGTGACTTTTGCCCAAGGATTTTTTTATTTTAACAATGAACTCCTGAAGATTTTAATCTGCCGGACTGCCTGTGTATTCATATGGTGATTGTTTTGCATTCAATTACCTTCCACACTGTTACATATGATGGATCAGACAAGTGCAACACTGCCCTAAGCATTGCTGAAATATAATTTTTTTTTTTAATTTGGTAAGCCACCATTCTCTTTAGGCAGTTGTAATGTTTTGTATCATATTCTGGGTCGTTCTCCTCATTTTATCCCATTCAATAAACTCTGTTGATTAATCTGGAGTGGGAGGGTCTGAAACAGATATAAAAATCTTGGTAAAACATTGATTTTGATGGTTTCTATTCCAGTGCTTCTGCTCAGACATGGGATATGATTCCATTTTGTCAGATTCTCTTTGACTCTTTGATATAAACGGTCAAATAGTCTTTTTTGTATCTTTAGTAAGTGTTACCCCCAGGTATTTAATTGAATCTGTGCTCCATTTCAATATGTGTGCTTGTTTAAGCTTTTCAGGTGGACTATAACTATTGGGAATGACTTCAGTTTTACTTAGATTCAATTTATATCCTTTCATTGGGCCAATGTTTTTAAGACAGTTCATTACCTCCAACAGGGACAGCCTGCAGGGTGCAGCCACGCTGAAAAGTACTGTTATAAGCATAAACATCTCTGTTCTGCTGTTTCCACTGAGGTTAGTGCTGAGCTACATGTTGCTGCTTGTTTCTTCAGGTAAGTTACAACAATTAAGGAAATGTTCTCCTCAGTTTGACCTCTGACCTTTGCCTACAGCAGATGTTGAGGTTTATTGCTGACCTTTGACCTGCAGCTGTATATCTGTGAGTCTCAGTTCTTCTCGTCCATCACTGATGGAGCAGGTGTAGTTGCTGCTGTCAGTCTTTGTTGGTGTTCTCAGAGTGAGACTGAAGTTTCCAGAGTTCAGAGCATCAGGATTCATTGATGTGCGCCCGCTGTAACGCTGGTTTTGTCCTCTAAGATCATCTTCATATCGTCGTAGGTGCACAGATTTAGGATTGAGATCAGAGCGAGTCCACATCACTGTGGGCTCCTCAGGAATAAAACTGGAGAACTGACAGGGCAGCAGGACAGATCTCTCTCCTGCGTACACCTCCACAACCACAGCCAGGGCATGCTGGGAAACTGAGGACACACAAACAAAAGCACAAATAAATTATATTCTCAATATATCTCTGAGTCCATGTTGCCCTGCACGTACCAGAAAAAAAAAGTAACCTGGGCAGCTAATGTAAGCCATTCAAAAAGAGAAAGTACAAACTAACAAATTAGAGTAAAAGACAACATGACGTGTCACAGTAATGTGCTGGGCCTCCACACAACTGAGGATCAGCTTCAGTTTATTCATAGATTTTCTCTTTCTCTCCTGAAGGAAAGAAGATGTTATTATAATAACATGTTATTATTAACAAAGTCTGCCGACATGATGAGCCATGGCCAACACCTTTTATTCCCATGCATGAGAGATAGAGGGCCTTCAGCTGGTACGCAGTCTCTAAAGATGAACCTCTTTAAACAGAACAAAAGTATTCCACAACTGTTGTCCACACTCTTAACCCCCTCCAAGGCAAAGAGTTTACAACTCCTTATTTCCTCTTACAGGGTCAACTAAATATTGCTTCCTGCTTCTCCCGCTTCCTGAGATAAGATCAACAGGCCCCACAATCTATTTAACCGCGTGTGCAATATAGTGTAAAACAGATGTATACACCCAAGTGGCACAAAAGCACTGTAACTAAAAAATGTGGCCAATACATAAAAGAAAAGAAATTTTCATCACAAACACAATTCTTCCAAAATATTTCCCCATTTGAAAACAAATTTACAAAGTGGAGCAAGTTGGAAAAAAGTTGCTGGTGCAAAAATGTGCAAATGAAATTAGAAAAGTCATAACTTGACTGACAGTGTGCCAATTTACAAACACAAACCACATTAAATTTAACAATTAAAGCAGCATAATGGGCCGCTCACTACAGATGCAGTGAGAGTTGTGTTTTCCTCTGATGATGTCCTTCAACCTGCTGGAGGACGTTCAGGAAGCTGTGCTGCTGTCCTGGTGCAGAACATGATGCTTCATGTAAATAGAGCAGGCTTTGTGGAAGACTTTACAGTGCCAGAGCTTTTCTACTGGCCTGAAAGGGGAAACAGTGATCAGGTGCAGAGATGGCAAACGCAGGGTGAAGCCCTTTGATTGGATGGTGAATCAAACACAGTTCTCAGTGTTTTTCACAGATGTAGATTCTTTCTGTGGGCTTGGTAGAGCTTAGCCACGATGCGCCCCTCCCATCGCTCCTGTTTCAGCTCCTGCAGCGTCTCCGGTGGTTTCCCAAAATAACAACAAGCTGCTACAGCCTCGATACAAACGTAATTTTCCCTACACGGTCCACGCACTCAGTCTTTCTGTCCCTCACTCTTTTACTAACACAGACACTCGACATTAAATCTCCGTGTGATGATGCTCTGAGTTCACCGCGGTAAAGTGAGCCGAGTTCAGATAGGTTCTTACCGTTGATGAGGAGCAGCAGCAGCAGCATATTCATCCTCCTTTACAGAGCACGAAGTCCCGTCAAATCCCCACACACTCCGTCTCCTCCTTCACCTGTCACGCTAACACCAGTTAGTAACCGTTACCGTTTAGTTACGCCATCCACGCCCGGAAAAAAAATAACGCACCTACAGCGCCATGCACGGCTATTCATGGTGCGTTTAAGGGCACCTTGTGAATGCATTGATCTATGCTCCCCAAAGACATAATGTTGTTTAAAATACTGTTCTGGGTTACGGGATAAACATACCTGTAACCATGTTGTTGTTCTGTTTTAGGCAGTGTATTATATAATTCAGAGCTAAAATCTGCATTATTAGGAAGCTTCTAAAAGTCTAATTTTTATCACCAAATTCCACAAGATTTCTTTATTTAACACATCACCAGAACGCTTTGTGAAAGCTTTTATGTTTTACAAAAACTTAAAGGTAAATACTAAATACTGATATTCCTGATAACACGCACAATAAAAACAGGTGACCAAAGAACAAAGCTCTTTAGAATAGAGCCTCTAAATGTGATTCTAGTACTGAAAATACTACATAATTATTATATTATTATTAAATATAGGCGTGGCTACTTCAAGGGCTATAATATAGGCAAACCTTGGGAGCATAGATTGCTGAATTTACGAGGTGAACTTAAAGGCACCATGAATGAACCATACATGACGGTGTGGGTGCGCATCCTTTGTGGCTTTGTTTAGTTTCGGTTTCACCGGAAGTGTGAGTCAGACGGTCAGTGATGCTGATGGTCTGTGTCAGCTGTTAACGTCTGTGGAGCTCACAGAAACATGAAGCTTCAGCTGCTGTGGCCTCCTCCCTGCTTCTGTTATCTACGCTCACCTGCCACTTCATTGGGTACACCTGTTCAACCTGTTGGTGCTGTGTCAGTGTTACAGATGGGGCTGTTTGTTACTGGGTCACATGGTCTCCCCGAATCTGGCACCACACAATAATATATTCTAAATGCTTTTTTAGTTGTTGCTGTTCTACATGACAAATTATTAACAAACAATGCAAATAGCATATACAATCTGACAACTTCAAGTTCAAAAGTCACAGAAAATAAACAGAGACAGATGATTTTCTTTCATGATTGCTAGTTACAAAGTGAACATTTTGGACTTTATTATCATTGACAGCCAGCTTCACTCAATAATGCTTAGCTGATTCTGAAAACATTGATATACTCACATGGCTCACCTCCGTACCTGTGTGCTTTACTTGAATTTGAATCAGTAATAACAGACAGATAACTGGCTGATGATGATGCATGGAGATGATTTCATTGTCCCCCATGAAAGCCAGTGTATACAGTGTGAGGTGTTCTCCCGGATAGCAAATATTCATTGAAGCAAATTTAACTCAATATCAGGCAATTCTACTGAATCAACATTGAACTCTGTCTTTGATTTAACTGATTGTTTTACTGTTAGTATTGAAACAATGTTTCAGTCTGATATTGAATCATTTTTTAACTCTGATGTTGATTTTCCATCACTTTTGCACCCGTGGTTACTATTGAAACAACAATAAAATCATGATTAAAAATAAACAGTACTTAATAGGTATTTGTATCAATACTAAACCACTGCAAATAACCATTAATACTTAAACCTGCGAAAAAGAGAATTGTGTGCGATCCACAAACAGGATACCCTTTATCTGCTGGACATTATCTTACAATTTGTCATGTCCATAATAATACGCCTATAATATGAACCATCAGGCATTAATTTAAAAAAAAACAATAGACATCTTTGTATAAATAACAAAATCATTTATTACATGAAAAAGTTTCTTTGTTACATGTGTTAGTTACAAGTCACTGTTTTTAGTTTACTCCAGGATTACTCCAGGATTTACTCCACCCATCCTATCTGGAGCGTAGCAGACATATTTCTGCACTGCTTGGGCGAAGGCAAACTCAGAAACAACCCCCACCTGCTGGGTCAGGCCATCCAGGACACAAACAAACAAAAAAGAAGAAAAGAAAGAGAGGGCCAATTAGAGCTTAAATATGAATAACCTCTTGTCAGTTGAGAAAGTCAGGGAGAAAGTCTCTAAACTACTAGGCCGATTAACATGAAAGTGACAAGACAGAAATCAGCAAACTGCTGCCTCATTTGTCACAGGACAAAAGAAGTAGAAGATCTGAAACTATCTACAGATTAACAGGAAAAAGTAGGTCTTTACTAGATTTTATTGTTCTTCTTTTTAAGAGCATGACTTTTGACACAGGAAATACCAGACACATCTAGTACTTCAACTGATCCCTTTATTGTTCACTAAAGGCTCATAAAACTACAATAAACAATAAAACTCACCAAAAATGCATCTGCAGAGCGCCGTCTGTCTGCCTAAAAAACGGAATTATCGTGACGTGTGTTTTAAATGTGTATGAATATGTTCATGTGTTGACATCATGTAATTGATGAAAGAGACATAATGATTTTTTTCCTCAAAGCCCAATTTTCCAGAGATAAAATGAATAAACCAAACTATTGGCAGTGAAATGGATTGCTATTCCTATTTGTTTGATCTTCCAACGATAGCCTGCTGTTGTATATTCAAGCAGGACATACAGGAGAAGGCCAGTTTTAAGCAGTTTAACCGAACTGGACACTTTTTTAAGTTCTGGGTTACAAAAGTTACATAACCTTTTAGAGCTTACCATTGTTTTATTTGCCTCCGGTCATTGCAGTTCATCTGTATTGTCCAGCTCATCCATGTTGTGCAAAGGCTAATCTAGAGGCAAAACCCCAGCATCAACAGGTTCAGTGCTGCAGGATTAACGGAAGGTTTTGAACTCCTCATGGAGGTCCTGACTTCTCCAGTCAGCTCTGTAACCATGGTTATAAATGTTGGGAAGGCTGCATCTGTTGAAAAGAACAATAACACAAAGAATACGGGCTTGTGATTTACTGGATATGCATTGTGATGTGATGGCTTCACATTTTTCATTCATGTTTAAGTAGTTCAATCTGTTAAACCCATTTACAATTTAGCCTTTTCACATATAAATGAAATCCTATGTAAAGCACAACATTTTAGAACTTTCCTCAGACTCTCTGGAATCTAAAAAACAGCAAAGTAAGATGATATTTAACAGTATAAATTAGAGTTTTGAAGTTAAGATTACAATGACAATTCAGTAGGTATTGACAGGATATTATTGACAAGACATGACAAAGACATGCAAAGCGTAAAATGTGCAAATATAATATAATTTAGGTGTGTGTACAGAACTATGAGTGTAACTGAGTGTGCAAATAAGCATGTTGTTCCCAGGTTCAGTTTGTATTTGTAGATTTGTGGAAGATCTTGTTGTTTTTGAGCCTTTTGATGAGTAAGGGGGGGTTAGGATTAGGGGTTAAGGTGTAAGGTGTTTGTAAAGGTGTATCTTTCTATCAGTCCTTTTGTGGAAAGAGGGAGAACAGTGCATGTGAGAGGTGGAAAATGTCCTTCACTATGCTGTTCGCACGTCGGATGATATGTGTTGTAAAGACCCACCTTTTAGCACATCCTAGCACACCCACTCGCTTCACCAGATGCACCTTGTTTAATTCCCTCACCTTTGATTGGGTGTGGTGCTTGTCCTTAATTGCACTCACCTGTCACACGTTATACAGTATAAGGACTGCATTTAGTTTTGGCTCACTCTTTCTTCACTCCCACATGGGGCGGCAGCAGAACATTGGCAGTCCATGTGTGTCTTTCCTTCTTTCCTTTTTTTTTTTGAGAATGAACGGAGAACCCTGTGAATGATTAGATGACTGCTTATTCTCATTCTAAACGGATGAGCCCATGATG